TGGGTGTGTGGGTGTGTGGGTGTGTGGGTGTGTGGGTGTGTGGGTGTGTGGGTGTGTGGGTGTGTGGGTGTGTGGGTGTGTGGGTGTGTGGGTGTGTGGGTGTGTGGGTGTGTGGGTTTGTGTGTGTGTGGGTGTGTGGGTGTGTGGGTGTGTGGGTGTGTGGGTGTGTGGGTGTGTGGGTGTGTGGGTGTGTGGGTGTGTGGGTGTGTGGGTGTGTGGGTGTGTGGGTGTGTGGGTGTGTGGGTGTGTGGGTGTGTGTGTGTGGGGGTGTGGGTGTGTGGGGGTGTGTGTGTGTGGGCGTGTGGGGTGTGGGCGTGTGGGGTGTGGGCGTGTGGGGTGTGGGCGTGTGGGTGTGTGTGTGTGTGTGTGGGGTGTGTGTGTGTGTGTGTGGGAGTGTGTGTGTGTGTGTGTGTGTGTGTGTGTGTGTGTGTGTGTGGTGTGTGTGTGTGTGTGTGTGTGTGTGTGTGTGTGTGTGTGTGTGTGTGTGTGTGTGTGTGTGTGTGTGTGTGTGTGTGTGTGTGGGTGTGTGTGTGTGTGTGTGTGTGTGTGTGTGTGTGTGTGTGTGTGTGTGTGTGTGTGTGTGTGTGTGTGTGTGTGTGTGTGTGTGTGTGTGTGTGTGTGTGTGTGTGTGTGTGTGTGTGTGTGTGTTTGTGTGTGTGTGTGTGTGTGTGTGTGTGTGTGTGTGTGTGTGTGTGTGTGTGTGTGTGTGTGTGTGTGTGGGTGTGTGTGTGTGTGTGTGTGTGTGTGTGTGTGTGTGTGTGTGTGTGTGTGTGTGTGTGTGTGTGTGTGTGTGTGTGTGTGTGTGTGTGTGTGTGTGTGTGTGTGTGTGTCTGTGTGTCTGTGTGTGTGTCTGTCTGTGTGCTTGTTGTGTGTTTGTTCATGCCTGCGTGTGTCTGTATGCCTCTATGTTGTTGTCTGTGTGTGCATGTAAATCCGTTGCCTCGGTCTGTCCGTCGTGTCTGTCTGTCTCTGTCTCTGTCTGTCTGTCTCTGTCTCTGTCTCTGCCTCTGTCTCTGTCTCGGTCTTTGTCTCTGTCTCTGTCTCCGTCCGTGTGGCTGTCTGCGTGCCTGCCTGCCTGCCCGCCTGAGGGCCTGCCTGCCTGCCTGCCTGCCTGCCTGCCTGCCTGCTGTCTGTAGCGTACACATGCATATGCGTGCGTCTGTGTCTGTATGTCTGAACGTCTGTGTGCTGTGCATCTGTACGTGCGCACGCATGTCTTTTTGCACCCAACAACAAAGGTCTTACGCTAGGTTGCGAAAGCAAATCTGGCTTTGACAAACCAACGTAGCAACGCCCTTTCCCTTTCCTTCCCTGACGCAACCCAATTGGTGAAAAGGAGAGAAGCCTGGTTTTTGGGGAGTCGAGATCGCAACTTTCAACAAAGAGGGGCGGGCCGGGCAACCTGAAAAAATAAATGTTGGGCGACTGCAAGCGGTCCGAGTCGGAGATTGGCCTTGCTTTGCTCCTGGGAATCTTGCTTGAGCCGAGCATCATCCATCTTGTTGCCGGTCACCAAGTCGCGCATGAGCTGCGTCTGCTTGGCCACAACCACTGTCAGCTCGACCTTGCCTCGGTCGCACAAACCTGGGCGACCACGTCCTGTGCTCGGACACAACTCCAATCAAAAGGACACCTGTGCTCGGACACAACCTCGGGGACGGTTATCCCAAATGAAACAGAATGGTGACCTCGCAAGGGAATTTGGTTCGGGACCTCGCCCATGAAGGTTCTATCGCCAATGACAAGTGCTGGATGAAAAGAGAAACTGACAGGCAACCCGAATAGCCAACACAGAAGTCATTGAAGCAATGGATCTATTATGCGTTTGCAGTTTTGTCTTTTGTCACTTACTTGTAGCATTTGCTGGCCTTCCTCATAAAAGGAAGCGATATGCCACGTTGAGTCACCAAGCCGGCTGTTGCTTAAGCACCTAAGCATCCAACGCTATGTTGACCTTTCGAGACTTGGATACGACTCGGGTTCAGCCTCGCCTCACCCCTTCCCGTGGGCCATCTTCTCGCTGCCAACCCGAAACTGAGAGCCCGAAACTGTTGACCAACATGGTGAAAAAGGCTTCTGCACGCCCAAAACACAACTCCAAAAACCAGGTGCCGGGTTTTCAAGTGGCCAATGGCTCTGGCCAAAGCGCTCTCTTGAACCGCAAGGCCGTTGGCGATTTGCATGAAGAACCGCAGGGAACGCTGCAGCCCGATGCGGGTGTCGCAGATGCCCAGGCTCAACGCCCGCCACTCGTCTGCGGGCGTTTGCGTTGAAACGAGGTCCGAGTCTTTAAAAAAAAACGGGGCGCCATGTTGGTCGGATGTCATGGAAAAACGTTACCGCATGCTGACGCTATCTGCTGATGGCAATATGGGCGCTCGTCATTTGCTCAGGGGAGGGATTGCAAAAGAGGCGGTTTTGGGGAAATTGGGCCGGATGGTTGGTTCCATAGATTTAGCAACAAAGAAATCAGACTCCAGACCTGGCACTGGAGTCTACCCAAAGCACACGGGCAATGCACCTGTTACATACTTATTGGTCGAAACTGCTCCCATTTGGCTTCACGCACCCAACCGCAATCAAGAGGCGCACAGGATTTTCCTGCCGCCCCGAAAACAATCTGTCAACTGACCTTTTGGGACGCCGGTTCCATGCTGCCCCAAAGGGCTCGGTTTGTGTTCCACCGTGTTTCGGCTCGCTTCTGGTTTCGGGTTTCAGATCCCAGCGGCTCCAAGTGGTGGTCACCAGCGGATCGCAAGAGGCGCTGCTGCTGTTCAAGTACCTTTGTTGCTGTTGACCCCTCTGCAAAAAGTTTAACTTTTTGTGGGTTGAATGGAAAACCCCTTGATTTCCCAAAAAGTTAAAGTCCAAAGATCCAACCCAATAGCAGTCAAGGTACAGATGCGCCGCCGCCACCATCGCGGCGTAGAGCGGGTCCACGAAGCGCACCACGTCGCCCACCACGGCGGACGCGATTTCGGAGGCCTCGAAGCTGGACTGCGCGTTGAGGACTTCTCGCATGAATGGCCTGACCTGGTGGTTCGCAGCGGAAAAAATGGGGAGGGGGGAAAGAAGGAGAAGGCCCAGGACCCCAAAAACCATCAAGTCAGTCTGTACTGACACTGCGCGCTATCGCAAAGGCCTGACCTGGCCAGAAGTGGAAGTGGAAAAAAACATCTTTTGGCCACTCCGAGCCCCAAACAGGGATTGGCCCTGCTCTCGTAACCCGAGGGAAAATCAGAATGATGCCCTCAAAAGGAAAGGAATTGCCTTTTGTGTTCAAACTGAAACATAAACCCACAAATTATGAGGGTCCTCTCTCATAAGAGAAAACAAGTATCAGGATTGCCTTAAGCCAAGCCGCAGCCTGGATTAACAAACCTGGTGAGCCAATCGGGTTCCGTACCAAACAGAAAAAGAAAAAGAATAAAAAGGAACACACAAACAAACAGAGATACCCCCTGTCAAGCAGCTAGGGTTGACTCTTGGGCCCGAAGCCATGCCTGCTGGTAGTAAAAGCTCACCTCTCGCATCTGATGCATGGTGCACATGTCCGTCAGCTCCGGCACGCCCGCCGCGCGGATGCCGAAGACGATGCCCTCCCCAGACTCCTGGAGTCCAGAGCCGCGCGCAATAAGAAAAGAGCATGACTGGGTCCTTGGGCTTGGCTCAAAGGGTGGTGTTTTTTTTTTCACGTCACCTGAGCTGATGGCGCGATTAAAAAACAAAAATGAACTGTTGATTTACCTCTAAAATGGTCTTCCCAACAAGCCTAGGTCCTCCAGTAGAGAGGTTAGAATAAGGGTACCAACCTTTTTTTGGGTAGTCTATTTAGTAGGGGAACCCTCCCCCTAGTAGTCTATTTAGTAGGGGAACCCTCCCCCAACAAAGGGTGAGAAAGGGCACTACTGGGGGACCTAGATGACAATGAAACATGCAGCAAAACCAGTGGACATGGGAAGTTCGGGGAGCCCCGCTGTGTTGTTTTGTCAAAAAAGGTAGAAAGTCCCTGACTCGACCATAGACTCTTAGATATTCTGACCCAAGCTCAGGTGTGAATTTGCAAATGGGGACCCGCCGAAGTGTGTTCCCCTCAGGTTTCTCTTTGATTCCACCATAAAGAGGGTCCCGCCACCTTTGTGTTGAACATCAAGTTTCTGTTTAGTCCAACTGGTGAGTCTTCAAAACCCAGGAACCAGGTTCACCATCTTTGGCGGCTGTGACATCTCGCCAATCATGGGCGCCCAGCCGCAATGAACCACTGATTGATAAGTAGAGGATGTCTCAGGGATTGCTCGCTCTTGATGGAAACACAACCAAGTTATATATGGAGACTCCTCAAAACATCGTGCGAGGTCGTGGGGTGGTTCGTGTCTCCGCCTCAAGTTCGGGGACCCCCCCCGGAAAAGAGGGCTTCGGCAGGAAATTCTCCTCGTAGAGGCCCACCACGGATTGGAGGTTTGCGAAAGAGTAGTCCAACGAAACCGCATGCGCCACGAGAAGCACGTCCTGGGAAAAGAACAACCAATCAACAAACGGCAAAACAACCAACAACCAACAATCAAACACCCGACAACCAACAATGAACAAGCAAACATTCAACCACCAGCAACCATTGAACCCACACTCAGGCAATAAACAACAAAAAAATCAACAAACAGCAAGGAAATGCACCAACACCCAGAAAGTCTACAACCAACAGCCACACAGCGGATAAACAAACAAACAAACAAACAAACAAACAAACAAACAACCAAGCAAGCAAGCAAACAAACAAACAAACACACAAACAAAAAACAAGCCAACAAACCAACAAACAAACAAACAAACAAACAAACAAACAAACAAACAAACAAACAAACAGAAAAGCAAACAAACAAACAAACAAACAAACAAACAAACAAACAAACAAACAAACAAAACAAACAAAACAAACAAAACAAGCCAACAGACAAACAAAACAAGCCAACAAACAAACAAACAAACAAACAAACAAACAAACAAACAAACAAACAAACAAACAAACAAACAAACAACCAGACAACAGACAAACAAACAAAACAAGACAAGACAAAACAAACAAACAAACAAAACAAGCCAACAAACAAGCAAACAAACAAACAAACAAACAAGTTAACCCATCTGTGCAACAGCAACACGGTTAGGGCGCCTTCGCGCGGTCTCTCCCACCTGCGGTCTCTCGAGCACTGGACAACGGCGCGCTTGGCCCGACCTCTAGCCATGTCCAAGAAAATCCGCCGGCTTGGGGGGATGGGGAGGATGGGGAGCAGAGATAAGGAGAGAGGACGACAGAACACACGAGGGAGACAAGGGAGACAGGAAGAAGGAGAAAAGGGAGAGGACAATGTCGGCGGACTGAGCCAGAGGCTCTAAAGTCCAAGAAAAAATCGGGGCCAAAGGGGTCAGAACTCAAAAAGCAACATGCGGGCCGGACTATACTGCTTGTTTGGCCCTTCATCGTGGGTGGAGGGGGGCTTTTTCCAATCTCGCTTCGGGTCTCGCTTTTGGGCTGGCTATCGCAGTTTCCGGCCTGACTCCCTTTTGAAAAGTCAGGATTGCCGGACGAATTGTGGCGACAACTTTGCCGACCGCGCAGAAACTGGGCAAACACCAAGGGAACCTGGGCCTCAGGGTGCAACGAAGGGGAGAACCTGGACATCGCCGGAAATGTAGGGACTAGGAATCTAATGGTCAAGTTGTATTTTGGTGGCCCCTTGAATGTTTGCCAGCCAAAACGGAGAGGGCGAGGTCAGTCAATTTTTGGGATACACCTGTGAAGTTCTGGCACCCAAAGTGCAATCCGTCTTCCACACGCTGGGCTTTGAAGAGCCTCCTTAACAGAGCCGCAACCCGTGGGAAAGAAGCAGGGCCGAACCATTTTTTTACTGGTTGAGCCAATTTTTGTGGCTTCAGCTTCAATTGGCTGAGGTTCCCTTGCAACCTGAGGTTCCCTTGCACCTCGGCCGAATCATGGTCTTCCAATTGGTTAAGACCCCTGGAAAAAAAATATGTCCAGTAGGGATAGATTCCCTTTACAACCAACAGGGGAACATAGAAGAAAAAAGTCTTAAGCAAATGGAAGTGGTTGGGGTTCCCTCGTAACCTGTCAATTGGCTTCAGATTTAAACCCCACCGCTCCTTGCACATGCGCTGGATCAGAATGCGCTGACGTTCAGCAATGTTCTGAGCACGCGAGCCAAGGCGATAAAAATGCCCGACTCTCACACACACACATACAAAAAAACACAAACACAAACAGAAACACGAACACAAACGCAAACGCAAACACACACACACACACAAAGAAAAATAATATATATATATATTAGAATATATGTATATATATTATATTAATAATATATATATATATTATAAAAAAAAAAAAAAAAAAAAAAAAAAAAAAAAAAAACCGCCGAAAGGACGTTACACCCCCTTAGCCGGAGCCAAGGGCCGCTGGTCGCTCGGGCAGGGTTTCTCTGGGGGCCAAATGTCCATCGAAGAAAGCGGCGACACGTGGCCATGGGTCAAAAGCCCGGTACCCAGTGAACATCCACCAATCCAACCACTAAAATCGGTTCTAAAATGGGTGGTGAATTCACCCAATCCCACCAAAATGGGATCCCCTTTAACGGTTTTGACAACAGCCATGTGGAAATTCCATTCTCGGCCCAGTCGCCACCGCCAAGCCATTGAGCTTGGCACCTGCTTCATCTGCGTCATCAACGAGGGCCTTCCAGGCAGCATCCACCTTGTAGTAGAGCGCGCTTGATGAGTCCGTCACAGCCCCTACCACTGATGTGTCAACGCCGTCTGTGCGCACGGTGTCCACATTATCAGCCAGCAAGGATCGCAAGGGCAACCACACGCTCAGCGCGCCCTGGAGCAGATTCGGACTCTTCAACTCCCACAAAGAATGTCCGGAAAAGGGTGAAGAACCATGGGGGCGGGCAAAATCGCAAAATCTATGTGTAGCAAGAGCTTTTCTTTCACTTGCCCAGGTTCCTGTCATGGTGAGTTGCAACGATTCACCAACCAAAATATGAGACGTGGAGCCATGGGCGTGGGGTCAACCCCGCCAAAGGACAATTTGACCACCTGGCACGCTGGATCCGATCTCCCATCCTCAAGCGCATCCTGAACCTCTGGACTGGTCGGGGCAGGGATATTATTCGCCGAATCCCCGAAAGTGATGGAAAAGAGGCTGGAGTTGTAGACGTCCATCAAGTCCAACAGGGACGCCTTGCTGCTGTTGACCTGCCAAAATCGTTCAGGACACACGCTTTGGGCCCATTGCTTGCGGAACCCCCGGCTGTTTCTTCTTTTAACCTTGTGCGTCTCGCTGGCCCGAAACAATAGGACGTGTCGGAAAGCGGGTCCGATGCCCTGACTCTCAAATCGACCAAGGCTTCGTGATTCACGGCGTGCTCTGGGGTGGAGTGGGGGGTTGGGGTCGGGGGTTGGGGTCGGGGTGGGGTGGGGTGGGGAGGGTTGGGGTGTTTGGGGTGGCTTCAACAATACACACCGCCGAACAATGCGAAGGAACACTGTGAATAGCTCAACTGTTGCCTGCAGCCATCACACATGTGCGTAAGTGCAAACACATAATTTCCACTCTCAGCGCAAATGTGCGCACACGCTGAACCAACCAGTGTATAAACTACGCTCAGGAACCACATCCGTGTACAGTCGGAACACACATGAGTATACACTTGGAACTCGCAGAACGCTCACGCGTGAAGCACACATGTGGATAGACCCCAAGCATGCATGTGAGTGTGTAAGTGTGTTGGCGCGCGCAGAACACACGTGAATACACGGGGAAACAAAGGCATATGTTCGGAACACAAACTTGTACAGTGTGAACCACAAACACACATGCTTATGCGTGCAGAACACACACGTGTGTGCATTTGGCAAACACAAGCGCAATGAACAATGAGGTGAAACACAAACGCTCGGAACACACATGTGCACACTCGAAAATCGTACGTGCAATGCTGGGCAATGCCCAGCATTGCACGTGCAAACGCGCCGGAGACGCATGCATGTACATTGGGACAGACGCACGGGCCAGAAACACACATGTGCGCACGTGCAGGATGCATCGACGGCACACTTGCGTATATCCAGAACACGCACGCGCACATCTGTCTGCGTGCGCAGCACACCAAAATTGCACATGCGAGAGATACGTCGACGGCGTATACGTGTCCACTCGGAACACACACACACACACACAGCTTTGTGCACTCGCAAAGCATAGATGGCGTGTTATCGCTTTCCTGTCTTTTCCCGCTCTATTCCTCACCTCCATCCACATCTTGCTTACGGTTACTAGCTGTGGCTTGGACAAGAGGGGAGAAATGATGAACAAGAAGAGATGATGAACAAGGGGAGCGGACACGGAGAAAGAGATGACAGATTACTATATCCGTCCCTTCTCTGTCTATTGATCTTCCCTTTATCATTCCTGAATAGAATTCCTATCCTTCTGGTAGAACCTTCAGACCACTCCAACCGTTTCCTCGCCCAGACAAACTCAAAAAAGCCAGCCAGTTAGAGGAGACACAGTTTCATTTCCCCTCATCTGGTGGACCGCAAAGCCAAAACCATCCATCTTTCCCCTTTTCCCGCCTTGCTGCTCGCGGAATCAAATGGTGGGAAAGAAACAGATAGAGATGCATGGCTGGAAGGAGAGGTTCATGCGGGAATGTCCGAAATGAAAAAAGACTATGAAAATACATAAGACTACTCCTGTGGATAGACGAAATCCTGCACCACCTAAGAACCCCTGGAATGATTTGATTCCCCTGTAAATACTAACAAACAATGGTTTCCGATGGTTTCAAAGTGGTGCAGGATTTCGTCCATCCACAGTATGGACTCGGTCAAGCGAGCGAAGGTAGACGAGGGTCCCTATGTGGCGGCTTTTTGGCAAGACTCTACACGGCCAGAAGGACCCATGGAATCAATTCATCTCTCCCATACTGTGGATGGACGAAATCCTGCACCACTTGGAAACCATGGGAAACCATTGTTTGTTGGTATTTACAGAAGAATCAAATCATTCCAGGGGTTCTTAGGTGGTGCAGGATTTCGTCCATCCACAGTAGCTTGCACGTCCTAAAGAATGGACTCCTGGCTGGAGCCATAGGTCCCTCCACTTCCCTCTCCATTCCCTTTCTTCACTTCGCTCCGGAGATAAGTTCGGCGAAGCAAGGGTTGGCAGTCACCTTTCCCTTTCTATTTTCTACTAATGAAGACTGCCAAGAGAGAAGTCAGTGAGTTTGTTTCCTTCATTCGTATCTTATCTGGCCTAACGGATGGACTCACCTAATTGCTTCTCCATGTCTTCTCTATTCCTAACTTACGCCCCAGTTGTGGGAAAGCTTTTGGGTAACTTGGGACAAGAAAAAGAAAAGAAAATAGGAGAGACGAAAGAGAAGGGAAGGAAAAGGAACGCTTTCATTCAGAGGGTCTACGTGTTTCCAAGCGTCTCCAATGCTCCGATCTTTGTTCACACATTGCCGTTACAGTCGGGGCCCCGTTGTCAAGCGTCCGCAAGCGGCGGGCCTCCCAGTTTCTCAGATTTCTCTTTGGTAAAGCGAAACATGGTAAACGGTCTTACCGAGACTCTAAACGGAAAAACACCAACACTTTCGGAAAAGGGTAACACGATTTTACCAAACGGTAAAACGGTTTTAAACGGTTTTACCGTTTTACCAACATGTGAAGCGGACCCAGTAGCATCAACCCGCTGCTAAGCCGGTAAAACGGTAAAATGCTATTGAAACGGGCTTGCGGTTTTACCGCGTTACCGATATAATGAATTTATTAGCACTTACCCCGTTGCTAAGCCAGCTTAGGATGTGAGAAAATCCGGCCAGTCACTCATCCTATCAACACAGCTTGCATCCCTTCGGGGCTGGAAGGTTCCTGCAACATCCAACTGAACAGGCCTCCCAAGGCGAGCGGACTCTGGCACTTTCTGTGATACCAAAGTGGGTAGCGCGTCTTTTTTTTTGGGGGGGGGGAGGGGGGTAAATATTTGCAAACCTGCGCGGGCCTTCCTCAAAAAAACCGCCTGCGCGAGCCTGCGCGCATTTCCGCCTGCGCTGCTGGAATGGTGGAGTGGCCAAGCGGAAAGCCACGATCTCTTACCCCTTGACGCGCCAAGCCAAGGGCACAAAATGAGATTCCATCCGACATGAATATCCGAAGCAAACCTCCCATCCACCGAAGACACACGATCGGACTCAAGCCAATGACAACCAGCCGCGGTGTTCTTTTTGTTTTTGCTGGTTTTCTGGGGATCCTGATCCCTGTTCACTATAGATGGCACCCCTCTCATGCACCCACAAGTTGCCTTTTCAGGGGAAACGTCGCCCCCAACAAAAATCGGAAGCGCATCCCACCAGCTCCGCTGCAACCTCCCAGACCCCCGCGACAAAAGCCACATCAACCCACGTAAAAGCCACAAAAGCCGGAAAAAAAGCCGAAAGCAAGACGCAAAACCCCCCCCCCTGAAAAACCGAGAAAAAAAAAATCCTCTGGCCAACCCCGGCGAACATGGCGGCAGAACAAACCCCCGAGACCTGTGGGCCTGGATGCCCGCGGCGATCTGCAGGAAGAGTCTCGCCATGGTCTCCCCCTGGGCCTCAACGACGACTCGGCTTTCTGCGAAGCCCTGCGAAAAGTCGTTTTTTTCAGTGGTTTAATACGGAAAACATGGCTGTGGGTCAAAAATGGGGTAACCAATCCCAAATGGCTTGCCCTGGTAAATGGAAAGGACTCAAACCTGCGGTCCAATTTCTGGTGGTTGAATTTTGACCCATACCCACCATGGAAGCTGAGCGGACGTGGGAAAAGACGGGCTGGGTCCCGAGCGCGAGCGGGAAGCTCCATGCAGACAAAAAAAATATGGTGTACAGTTCCGCAGGTTTGAACAACAAGCAACTTGGTACAGGACATGTTCGTCATCTTCAACCAACAAACCACGAAACGATTAAAGGCTAAGCAAAGCCACACAACTTTTTGCGTTGAGCAGCACCTGGAAGAGCCAAAAGCCCATCTGTTGGGTTCGGAATGTCATATTGGCAGCATGTCTCCTTGAACAACATGCACTTACAAGTACTTCAGGCAGGCGATTTCTTCCCTAGGGTCAGAACCCACTGCCATGAGTCCTGAGTGGTTCGTTGATTCCTTGCTGCGCTACAATCCCTCACCCAACATGTGCCAAGATTCAAGGAAGTCCAAGGTACTGCTGGGAACCGTCTCCTTAAGCGGAAGAGACTAATATTTTCCATTACTTGCGACTCTAGGAAACCATTCACCCAGTTTCCTCATCCCATCTTCTGGAGCTGAAGATGTAAGCCGGCATTCTTTTGAAAACCTGGGAACCATCTGCCTCAAGGAAGGTGAGTGATATCTCAAGTGTTAAAAATAACTTACCTCGTAAAGCTGATGTCACGATACTTGAATTCATGCCATAAAGTGAGTGATACAAGGTGATAAATCACTCACCTTGCTTGAGGTTCCTAAAGTCGATATCATGATACTTGAATTCACGTCACAAAGTGAATGATGCAAAGTGACAAATCATAAAATGACGAATCCGCTTCATGAACTCCGGCTGTGTTACCTGGGTATGTCTCACTCATGGTTCTTCTTCAAAAAAGAAAGGCGGACTCCCGGACATCGGCGGCTTTTACGGTGTCCCTCACTCACTCACTCACTCACTCACCCACCCACCCACTCACTCACTCACTCACTCGCTCACTCACTCACTCACTCGCTCACTCACTCACTCACTCACTCACTCAATGATAAGCAGCTTTCAGGAAAAACAGGCGCCCGGCCCTCCAAGTAAAAACAACAAAAGGCCCCCCCAAAAAAAATAAAGAGTCCCCCCCCCAAGTAAAAACAGAAAAAGGTTCCCCCCCCAAAAAAAGAAAAAAAGAAAAAGAAAGGCCGCGAGCTAAACTGCCGAGGCAAAAAAACACAAAAACAAACCAAAAAAAGAACATGGGAGCAAAATGTAGGTCGCCGGCCTCCAACAAGCTCATCTGCTCCACCAGCTCCAGCCACTGCTTGGCCGAGGGCCGCGTAGCCACCACCCGCCCGCCCTCGCACACCTCGCAGATCGGTTTAGAAAGCAGACCGTTCGGGGGGGGTTCGGGGGGGGGGGGGATGTTTTTGGGTCAACAAACCAGAAATTCGTTGAAATGCCCTTCCCCTAGTTGACAAAAACTTAACTGAAGTCGATGGGAAACCAATCAAGTTCTGTCCTGGAGGGGTTTTTGAAAAATGGACCCTTTGGGTTTTTCGCACCTCATCCTTCGCTCTCCCCTCTCTTCAAAACGTGTGTTATCAGGGCATGGAAGGAATCGGCGAGAAAAATCGAAAAACGATGCGGTTTGGGGTCCTTTCAGTTTTCCTAACTTGTTTAAATGAGCTTGAAATGGCATCTTGTCTGTCTCCCTGTTGGGCTTGCTTGGAAAGCTGTTTTTTGGCCGGGCTTTACAATCCTTCCGGCGTCCCCTTTGAATAAATGTTGGATAGGGAAAAGCGTCTCCTTGTGCTGTCTCAAGCAGACAGCCCTAGCTCGGAAAGTTGCCGTTTCCGCCGACTTTGGAGGGGATTTCCCCAAGATTGCGGAACGTCATCCCAAGACCCTATGTGAGTTACATTCCATGGGAGTTATAAGAGACCCAATACCATGCTTTTAGGCGCCGATCGGGTCAAGGTCGCCCAAAATGGCTTCCCCTGGTAAATGGAACCATGGACTAAAACATGCGGTCCAATTTCTGGTGGTTTAACTTTGACCCATACCCAGCTGATGGCCAGCTGACTTCCGCCTGCCTTCAGCCCAACAACCGCCGAGCCGCCTCAGTGTCCGCGCAGGGCACGCACTCCTCCTCCTCCAGCCGCGTCTCGGGTCGGCAGCTGCACATCCGCGCGCTGCTGGTGCCCTGCTTGCATCCCCCAAGCGCCGACCCAAGCCCCAAACCAACGGAAGGAACGTGGAAAAATAAAACCTGGCTGGAGATGTTGGTGTTTTCTTGGGTTTACTTGTTGGAAATAGGTACTTGTGTTCCATCAAATCGGTCTTCCAAAGCGTAAAGTGTGTCAATGATATTTGCTATGAAGAAGCAAAGGGAACCTTGCGCAGAGCAAACAAACACTGAACTAAACCTGTAAAAACATATACACAGTACCTAAAGCAACAATGCAAACGACATCTCAAAGCAACTAAACAATACCCAAACACAGTCTTGCCATAAATCAACGGTGAATCTCAAACCAACATGTCAACCAACAACAACATAAGACCATCTCAAAAGGAACCTGGTCAAAACAAAAACTAACAACAACCAGCTAACACGTAACACAAACAATCAACAAAGCGCCAACCTTTCCAACCAACCAGCACTCTGAAAGCATCTCAAAGCCTAAAATGACTTGAAGAACCAAACGCCGAAAGGAAACTGATTCAACACTTCGCGGGCGATTCAAACCGCCTCCAGAAGGCTTTCGGACGGGTGAGAACTCGCTAGCTGCTTCCCCTGCTCGAACATGGGTTCCAGAGATACCTATGCCCGAAAAAAGAAATAGTCCAAAGGAGTTTCTTCACAACACAATTTAAAGCGATCCAACGAATTTCGGATCCAAAAACAAGGGATCCCCTCACTTTTGCGTCCCACGGTACGGATCCAAGAAAAGGGATCCCCTCAAGGCGCCACGATCCGCGCTCCCCTCACTCCCCCAGATCCGCGCCTCAAAGTCGCTGGAGCGCCCTGGAGGGCACTCGGCGCATTGGGTGAGGCCTGCGGCTTCGCTGAAGGTCCCCGCGGGACACTTCAGGCACGCCGTGCCCGAAGATGTCTCAAGGTACTCACCTGGCTGGGGGGAAGAGGGAGGGGGCAGGGGGGGGGAGTTCCCTAGAGTTTTCTCCGCATCCAAAAAAGCACGCCCTTTTGGTGTCAGTGGAAAAAAGAGATGGACCCCGACGGGACGTACACCCCCAAGCCTCAAGCCTCCCCCACAAACAACTCGCCAAAAAAACAAAAAATGCCCCCTCCAAACACCAAAAAACAAACGCGAAAAAGAAAAACTCACCCAAAACAAGCAAAAATCCCCCCCACACCAAAAAAACAATGCGAACAACTCGCCCAAAACAAGCAAAATCCCCCCCCCCCCCGCCACACACCAAAAAAAAACACGAAAAACTCGCCCCCCAAACAAGCAAAAATCCCACACACACACACACACACACCAAAAAGGCACGAAAAAAGCTCGCCCCAAAACAAAAGGGAGAGCATCTGCCTCCCTCCAGCCCCATGGCCTTGACCGCAGGCTGCGCACGCCGTGGCGCCGGTGTTTGCAGCGAAGAAGCCTGGCGCGCAGGGCTGGCACGCGTCGGCGCCGCTGAAGTTGCTGAAGCCCCCGGCCCCGCAGGCCGCGCAGGCCAGCCTGACGTGGAACCGACACCGGGTGTTTTCTTGGGGTCGGAGGTGAAGGGAAACGAGAATGGAACTTATCAAGAGAAATGATAACTCAGCAACGACAAAGGAACTTATTAAAGGAACTTATGGCACATGAAACGAGAAAGGTCGAAAACAATTTGAACATAATAAAGAACTAAACTTGTTTGACTTGGAACCTATACCGTCTATACTTTGGAACTTAACCTGTTTCTTTGTTCAGAAATCCGCCGACAACAGACGGCGTGTTGGACATAAGAAATGCTCCTTACCTCTTTACCTGTTACCCCTCCCCTAACCCCTCCCCAGGGGCAGCATTTCAGACTATTGCGGGGGGGGGGGGGTCCACGTACCACGCGGTGATTCGAAGACGCTTCACTAAATCTGTTCAGCAACTCAGTTTGTCAAAAACATTGGGGTGTTCGATTCCCCCCGGTGCGCTTTCGCATCCTTAGCAGCTCCAGTGGCACATCCGCATCAGCGCCTGCCAAGGATGCGGATGATGCAAGTGATGCTGGGGATGTTGCCCATGCTGGTGAAGGAAATGAAGGGGGGAAAGGGGGAAAGGATCTCAACAGCGAAAGGGGGGGAAAGATCTCAGGGAGGAAAGGGAGAAGATCTGGGGAAAAAATGCCTTAAGGGGGAAAGGGGGGAAAAGATCTTTGGGAGGAAAAGGGAAATCTTTCTCGGGGGGAACAGGCCCTAAGGGGCAATGGGGGGACAGGATCTCAAACGGGAAAGGGGGAAAAAGACTTTGGGAAGAGAAGGGTGGAGATCTTGGGGGGAAAAGGCCTTAGGGGGGAAACGGGGGAAAGGATCTTAAGCGGGAAAGGGGGGAAAAGATCTTAGGGAGGCAAAGGGAGACGAACTCAGGGAAAAGGACTTAGGGAGGAAAGGGGGGGAAAGATCTTTGGGAGGAAAAGGGAGAAGAACTGAGGGTGGGAAAAGGCCTTAGAAGGAAAAGGGGGGAAATAAATGATCTCAACAGGGAACTGGGGGGGGGGGGAAAGATCTTAGGGAGGAAAGGCAGAAGATCTGGGGCAAAAAGGCCTTAGGGGGGAAAGGGGAGAAATGATCTCAACAGGGAAAGGGGTGGAAAAGATCTTAGGGAGGAAAGGGAGAAGATCTGGGGAAAAAAGGCCAACAGGGAAAGGGGGGAAAAGATCTTAGGAAGGAAAAGGGAGAAGCTCTCAGGGGGGGAAAGGCCTTGGGAGGGAAAGGGGGGAAAGGATCTCAACATGGAAAGGGTGGGAAAGATCTTAGGGAGGAAAGGGGGGGGGGGGGAAGATCTTAGGGAGGAAAGGAGAAGATCTGGGGACAAAGGCCTTAGGGGGAAAGGGGAGAAATGATCTCAACAGGGAAGGGGTGGAAAAGATCTTAGGGAGGAAAGGGAGAAGATCTGGGGGAAAAAAGGCCAACAGGGAAAGGGGGGAAAGATCTAAGGAAGGAAAAGGGAGAAGCTCTCAGGGGGGGGAAAGGCCTGAGGGGGGAAAGGGTGGGAAGGATCTCAACAGGGAAAGGGGGGAAACAATCTTAGGAAGGAAAAGGGAGAAGATCTGGAAAGGCCTTAAAGGGAAGGGGGGAAAGGATCTCAACAGGGAAAGGGGGCAAAGGATCTTAAGGAGGAATAGGGAGAAGATCTCAGCGGGGGGAAAGGCCGTAGGGGGGAAAGAGGGGAACGGATCTCAACAGGGAAAGGGGGGGAAAGATCTCAGTGAGGAAAGGGAGAAGATCCCAGGCAGGGAAAAGGCCTTAGGGGGGAAAGGGGGCAAGGATCTCAACAGGGAAAGGGGGCAAAGGATCTTCGGGAGGAAAAGGGAGAAGATCTGAAAAGGCCTTAGGGGGAAAAGGGGGAAAGGAGCTCAACAGGGAAAGGTGGGAGAGGATCCTAGGGAGGAAAAGGGAGAAGATCTTGGGGGGAAAGGGGGAAAGGATCTCAACCAAGGGAAAAGATCTTGGGGAGGACAAGGGAGAAGATCTCAGGGGGGGAAAGGCCTTAGGGGGGAAAGAGGGGAAAGGAACCTCAACAGGGAAAGGGGGCAAAGGATCTTAGGGAGGAAAAGGGAGAAGATCTTGGGGGGGAAAACGCCTTAGGGGGGAAAGGGCGGGAAAGGATCTCAACAAGGAAAGGGGGGAAAAGATCTTAGGAAGGAAAAGGGGGAAGATCGCGGGGGGAAAAAAGGCCTTAGGGGGGAAAGGAGGGAAAGGATCTCAACAGGGAGAGGGGGGAAAACATCGTAGGGAGGAAAAGGGAAAAACTCAGAGGGAGAAAGGGCCTTAGGGGGGAAAGGGGGAATGGATCTCAACAGGGAAAAATTGCAAAAGATCTTAGGGAGGAAAAGGGAGAAGATCTCAGGGGGGGAAAGGCCTTAGGGGGGAAAGGGGGGAAAGGATCTGAGCAGGGAAAGGGGGGAAAGATCTTAGGGAGGAAAGGGAGAAGATCTGGGGGCAAAGGCCTGTAATGGTAGAACTTGATTAATAAAGGGCCCCCCCCCCCCTGAACAATGGAGGCGCCAAAACAATGGGGGTGCACTTTTGGGACGTCCAAACAATGGAGGATTTTGGGGCCCAATTCTACTTTAGTATTGCAGCCACTTCCTTTTTGCAATTCTACTTTAGTATTGCAGCCACTGCCTTTTTGCAATTCTACTTTAGTATTGCAGCCACTTCCTTTAGTATTGCAGCCACTTCTTTTTTGCAATTCTACTTTGGTATTGCAGCCACTTCTTTTTTGCAATTCTACTTTAGTATTGCAGCCACTTCTTTTTTGCAATTCTACTTTAGTATTGCAACCACTTCTTCCTGAGCAGACTTACCACTGGGGGTTTGGCTTTGGGTTCTGTGGTTGAGCAACCAATTGAAAGGGGAATGCTTTTAAGCAAGTGGGCCACCAATTGCAAGGGGATGCTTTTAAGCAAGTGGGCCACCAATTGCAAGGGGATGCTTTTAAGCAAGTGGGCCACCAATTGAAAGGGGATGCTTTTAAGCAAGCGGGCCACCAATTGAAAGGGGAATGCTTGTGAGCAAAGCAAGTGATAGTTTATTTTCTGGGAGGGGGGGCTGGGGGCTTGCCACTACTGTGGTCCCCCCTAAAACAATCACATTATTGTGGTTCAGTGGGGTCTGTGAGGGGTACCCTTGTCCTGATTGTTTTTTGGCAATTTTTTAGCACGGTTTAATAAAGAGTTTGCAGTTTCAGGGCTGGGGATGGTTTTCAAATTTCAGAGTTTCAGCTGGCTTTGGGTTCTGTGGTTGAGCAACCAATTGAAAGGGGAATGCTTTTAAGCAAGTGGGCCACCAATTGAAAGGGGATGCTTTTAAGCAAGTGGGCCACCAATTGAAAGGGGAATGCTTTTGAGCAAAGCAAGTGATAGTTTATTTTCTGGGAGGGGGGGCTGGGGGCTTGCCACTATTGTGGTCCCCTAAAACAATCACATTACTGTGGTTCAGTGGGGTCTGTGAGGGGTACCCTTGTCCTGATTGTTTTTTGGCAATTTTTTAGCATGGTTTAATAAAGAGTTTGCAGTTTCAGGGCTGGGGATGGTTTTCAAATTTCAGAGTTTCAGCTGGCTTTGGGTTCTGTGGTGAATTTGTTTGCATTTGGTATGGGGTCAACATGGATGTTGGGTGATTGTTTGGGGGGGGGGGGGGAGGATTTTTTTTTGGAATTTTCCCCCCGGGCAAAAAACTTTCAATTATTCTGGTCCCCCTAAACAATGGGTGCGAACCAGAATAAGGAAAAAAACTTGACATTATTCAGCACCAGTTGATTACTCAAGTGTTAACATTAGGGGGGAAAGGGGAGAAATGATCTCAACAGGGAAAGGGGTGGAAAAGATCTTAAGGAGGAAAGGGAGAAGATCTGGGGGAAAAAAGGCCAACAGGGAAAGGGGGGAAAGATCTAAGGAAGGAAAAGGGAGAAGCTCTCAGGGGGGGGAAAGGCCTGAGGGGGGAAAGGGTGGGAAGGATCTCAACAGGGAAAGGGGGGAAACAATCTTAGGAAGGAAAAGGGAGAAGATCTGGAAAGGCCTTAAAGGGAAGGGGGGAAAGGATCTCAACAGGGAAAGGGGGCAAAGGATCTTAAGGAGGAATAGGGAGAAGATCTCAGCGGGGGGAAAGGCCGTAGGGGGGAAAGGGGGGAAAGGATCTCAACAGGGAAAGGGGGGGAAAGATCTCAGGGAGGAAAGGGAAAAGATCCCAGGGAGGAAAAGGCCGTAGGGGGGAAAGTGGGGGAAAGGGAGGAAAAGGGAGAAGATCTCAGGGGGGAAAAGGCCTTAGGGGGGAAAGGGGGGAAAGGATCTCAACAGGGAGAGGGGGGAAAACATCTTAGGGAGGAAAAGGGAAAAAATCAGAGGGAGAAAAGGCCTTAGGGCGGAAAGGGGGAATGGATCTCAACAAAGAAAGGGGGGCAAAAATCTCAGAGGGGAAGGGGGCAAGGGGACAATTCCAAAGGGACGCAAATAAGAAAGCAGGCCTGTAATGTCGGCGGCCTGAGCCGGAGGCACTAAAATCTTATTAAACAAGAAACGAGACTCGCGCTTGGCCAGCAAGTACATGTCCCAGACTCTCAACAGTACAAAGAAATGTCTCATCACACAACATGACCGTAAAGGAGGTTGCCTTAGGAGATCCCTCTATTAATACGTCCATCTCAATCTGGGGAGGGTAAGTGAGAGATTTCACCATAGCAGCGCCCGTTTCTGACTATGATAGTGTCCAAGAGATGGTGATGAAGATTCTATGTAGACCCCCTCAAGCTCTTCTCCGGCACGCAGTCAAAACCGATAATGAGAATGGCTTGGGACAGGGGGGGGGTTGCACAGCAAAACCAAACCAAAGAAAACTGGCAAGTGCATCAAATCAGTTTGCCCATTTGCTGGTTTGTTTGCGTCACGATAGCCATCCTCTTCTCAGTTGCTCTTCCCACAAAGCTCGCCAGAAACCACGAGACAGCAACCAAAAAGAACAAAGGTGCCGCAGAACCGGGCCTTTTAGCGCCCAAAAGAGCCCATTGCATCTAGGCAACATGGCTGCCGTCGCGAAGTCTCCTGGACTGCACTGGGTGCAGCCCTCCGTGTTCGTCCACACCTCGCCCCCGGGGCACGAAGAGCTGCGGTCCGGTGGCAGCCAACCCCCCGCCAGGTCGCAGGACGCGCCCAGGCAGGAGACCATCTTACCTGAAAAAGGGTTTCACTCGTGCGCGACTGTATATATGCACATGTGTTCCCAACAATATATACAAATAGTGACGCATCACATATAGTGGTCGCGATGGTGTATGTGCGTGCGTGCGTGCGTGCGTGCGTGCGTGCGTGCGTGCGTGCGTGCGTGCGTGCGTGCGTGCGTGCGTGCGTGCGTGCGTGCGTGCGTGCGTGCGTGCGTGTGTGTGTGTGTGTGTGTGTGTGCTGTGTGTGTGTGTGTGTTGTGTGTGTGTGTGTGTGTTGTGTGGTTGTGTGTGTGTGTGTGTGTGTGTGTGTGTGTATGTGTGTGTGTGTG